TTCAGTAGACTCAGTATACACCACACATCTACTTCAAATCATCCAAGAGCTATTTCCTTCAAATGTTAAGCATCTGCATGTAAGAATGTTTCTCTGTTTACTGAGAAAGGAAGGCAGCAGTTGAATGCATGGCATCTTGTTTTCTCAGAGGTGATTTGAGGGCATTGATGGAGCAAAAAGGGGGAAAAGTGCTGCTACAATTTGTTATGCTCAACCTGTTGAGTTCTTGGCAAAAGGATGTCCTTGAGGCACATCATGTGGCCAGGCTTTCAGAGGGACCATGGAATTACTTGAGCTCAGCTGTTTTTGAAACTGCTACAGAGAGAGTAAAGAGAGTTTATAGATTAGAAGCAAGTGGTGCCAGATTAAAGTATGATGCATTAAATAAACTAACAGTTATGGTGTGCTTTATGCAATCTTCACCTTATTAAAGGAAAGTCCAGGTCTCCATTTCTCACTGATCTCAATACAGTCTCAAACTATGTGTCATTAACTGTGACCTCAGCTGCTAATGCTATAAAACCATATTTCTTTGTAGGGTAATTGTAAATATTTTCATAAGTATGACCCAAACTGCTCTAGTAAATAAGTGTCCAGAAATACAATCTTGAACTGCTTCACCTGTTTTACCTATATAGTTGCCAGAAAGAAAGGAAATAGGCAGGAAAAATACAAATGGAAAACTGTGTCCTTTTCTTTCTCTCTTACTTAAATATTTTGATTTCTGCAAGCAGCAGAATAAAATATTTTCATAATCTGATCAGTTCACTCTAAAATTGATATTCATTAATACAAATTCAGCAACTAGAAAGCTAGCAAAACCAATTATGGACCAAAAATGGGAGCCAGTTACAACATTTTCTCTGCATGAAGCCATGACCTAGAGTTTTATAACGCAGGGATAAAAATTCTTTTTAAAATATTCCAGTTCACAGGCCAAGGCAGTATATTCCCATGGCTTTCTAGGCAAAATCAAACACAGGATTTCAGAATGCCCATGGTCATGATCCTGAGTTCCCAGGCTGAGCACCATGTGTGTATAAATGCCCATGAATATGCTGAGGAGTTGATTATTTCCCAGTGGAAGAAGAAGAGCTTAGAACAGTCATTTTGGTGATTCTTTGGTGACAGTCACATGCAGGTATGCTGAGGGCTGTTCAGTGACACAGAGCAGCATCTCTGTCTCCCAGGGCCTCCGGCACAAATGTGATTCCAGAAGGTCAGAACAAGGCATGTGGGACCAGAGTGCTCAGGCTAGACTTCCAGTGTTTGGGGATCATCTGCCTTCACAAACTGCACCAAACTAATTAAATGAGCTTCACAATCTATTCAGTTAAATGGTCACAATTTCCCAAATCAGTGCCAAGTGTGACTGATGCTTAAATTAAGTTAAAGCAAATTGATAAAAAGCCTGCTGTAGTCTTTTCTATATGTCAACGTTGGCTTGGTTAATTTTTCAAGTACAATCTGACATATGCCCTTCTTTGCTTTTCCCAGTGTGTTGCATCATTATAAAGGTGATTAAATTGCTTTTCTCATACTTTCTAGCATGTCTACTTAAAGCACCTTTTTAATGGTACATCTGCATTTGTATGAAGGATTTGTGCCAGTGTAATTAATTTAGTTAAAAAACCCCCACCTTTGAAACTTGATAGAAACACTTCCTTAGGCACAAAAAAAATATATTTACAAACGTAAATTGGACTGTAAAGTAGAATACAAAGAGAAATATTAACTTAACTAAAAGCTTTTTACTTTTTACTTTACCATGCAATTACTGTGGTTCAATTTCTGTGTGTTAACCTGAGCCTCCCACTGATTTTTCAGATTTGATGTAGGGTGAGGTACTTGTAAAATGAGGGAAACAAATTTTGGTAAGCCTTTGAAAGCCTTAAACAGCAGGCACTATGCAAGCATAAAGTATGATTATTGCTATTTTACTCATTCAACAGTAAGCTACACAACAAAATAGCAGAAGCGCTCTTGAAAATATGTATTTCCCAACAAGCTGTAGGAAGCAGCTTAAATTACTTTTCTCAAAGTAGCTCAATGTGAAACCAGCTGTTCTAGGTATGAGTCAGCAGCCTTCCTAGAGTCAAACCCTCCAGAACCTTTCTAAATTCACACTCATTAAAAATGTTCATCACCCTGGTAGAAGTCCCTTAGGTATTTGCCAAGCAGTGCTGTTAATACAAGGAGGAAGAAAAAAAAAACATGGAAAAGATCTCTCTTCACTGCAATTATTTTGAAGAGGGGAGGGAAGACATTCTTCATTATTTCAGTTACTAATCCCAGCAGGCTTGTGTCATTATCTGATGAAAATGTCCTTTTTTCATTGTTTGAAGGCATAGTCAGAGGGACCAGTGTGACAGCCAGCTTCATGTAGAAAACCCCATTCTCTTGTGCTGGGATTGTGGCACTGAGCCTGCCTCCTGCCCATCAGTGCAGGGCTGCAGGACTTCTCCTTGCCCTTGCAATGCCTACTCCCTTTTGGAGTGTTTTTTTTGGAGGTGTGCTTAAAGCTAATTTTGTTGTAAAACATCCTGCCCAAATGGCAGAAGCATCCTGTAGTATCCTTGCCTCTTCTTCCCGTTTCAATAGATAAATAATCGTGTGCACAAAACATTTCTGTGGAGGAAATTGGCATCACTGTTACGTGGCTGCAGGAATGCTGTCTGTAGTTAGCAGTAAGAGAATCTGTGAACCTTGTTAAGCCACAAATATGTATTTGTGACTTGCAGGGTCTGTGGAGAGGTTGCAATGAGGCAAATTTCTGTTTGAATATTTGAGGATTGTGCTTGTTTACTTTGCTGTAAAAGCTTGAACCTGGATTTTCATTTTCCTGTGAGGAAAGAATGCTCTCAGTAACATCACACCTAATCCAGGTGCTGCCATACTTTGTGCCTGTTGAGTGGCAGATGCTGGATCCCTTCAGATGTGGCAGGAGTGATGGACAGCCTTGAACACAAAACTGACCACCTCAGATGTAATGTGAGGAGAGAGGAATAGCCTCTTCAGCTCTGCACAGGTGAGCTCAAGCTCCATGGATGATGCAGAGCCAGGGGATGTGGGCTGCTCCATTCCATCTCCCCTGAGAACCTGCTAGGGCACATGAAATGCAAGGAGACATCCTCAGCTCTCCCAATAGATCTGAACACAAGGCAAAAAATCATCCAGAAATGCATCCAGCCTAAACTCCACTTTGTCCCTAGGCCTTTAAGTTCCTTCTTCCTGCCTCTTGGTCTCTCCAGAGATATCTTGGCAAAGGAAATATTGGGCATAAAGCCATAGCTGAAATTTACCAGATTATGAGCCTCAGCAGTAATTTGGAGTAACAAGGGTACTGTAAATTCATGCCCAGGCTTGCTGAGCGCTCACTCAAGCCCTCAGAAGTTACTCACCAGACTTTTCATGGCCACTACTTCAAGTACACCAGTAGAAAGAGAAGGCAGTTATTAACAAAAGATTGAATATGCATGTTGAGAGTACACATAGGTGAACTTGCCTCAAAGCCAGGGAAATGAATGTAAGAACATAATATTTCTAAAAACACTGGTATGGCTGGAATCCTTGCTGTGAAGTAAAGCTTTAAACAGAGCTTACAGGCAGTATAGCTTGTGCCATGATGTCCTAGAAGAAAACATCATCATCAAAAATCAGCTGGTTTTGCTCTGGTATTTCAGGTAAGGTAGAATTTATGCAGTAGTTAATGCCTGGAAATTTTGGAAGGAGGTATGCCTGTGGTTGGGATAGACTGTGTCTTCATTAACAAAAAATACAGCCAGGCAGCAAGGTATGTGTAGAGCACAACAGATGCTCACAACAGAGCACCCAGGTTCTGGGAGCTGGGATTATTAGTCTGCCTGTAATGTGGTCCTGTGCATTAGGCACACACCAGGAGTGCATTTTCCAGTTTTGTCTCACCTGCAGGGAGTCCCCAGCTGTGTGAGCTCCTTGCAGTGAGATCAAAGGGGAGGGGGTAAAATTCCCTCCAGGAAAACTTAAGAGAGGGTGATGGAGGAGAGGTACCTTCTTTCCTACACTGACTCTAATCCCATCCCAGACAGTGACTCTCCTGCTTAGTTGGGATTTGTCATTTACCTTTCCAGCAGGATGGGACTTGGAGCACTTCACTCATGGGCCACATGGGAGATGTTGCTTAGTGGGTTCACATGTCTGAGCTAAGTGGCTCCAGTGTGCTGTGCTGAGGGTAGTGCAGAAGGAAAAGACAAAGGAAGTGATATCTCTTCCTTATCCATCCTGAAATAAAGCTGTAAATTGTGTTATGATTTTGTCAATATATGGTGCTTGCAAAGATTTCAAATAAATAATGTTCTGACCCCAGGGGCCTTATTGATTTTGTAATGATTTCAAAGAGAAACCACTCAGTTTACTGTTTGCTGACAAATTCTTTACTCCCTAAGGAATTCCTATTGAACATGTATTAAGGACAGGATAAAATAATTCTAAGGAAATACAGAGAGAGGGCTTTGTGCATAGACTGCTCCATGAATCAGTATTTAACCTCTGACCACTGACAACAGGTCTCCTTTAGCTCTATTAGATCAACAGCAAGTTATTATAATTAAATATAAAAACTGTTTAGAGCCTCACCAAACATGTCCTGGGAATTAAAGCATATGGCAGGGATAAGGATAAAAAGACTTTCCATATGCTAATGACCCTAGATGTCTGAAATAAATTAGATCCATTACAGTTTATGCTCAATAAAAGAAAGACTTTAAGCACTCCAAAGTTAGTGACTCGAGACCGATTTTGGCTTAGAAATTCAATCTGCCTGCTTATTAATTCTTAGTAAGGCTCTGGAGGAGACAGGGGATGCAAAATCATAATTCTGTGCTGTATCAGAATTTTAAAGCGCCATCCGTTTCTTTTCCCTTTTTTTTTTTTTTTTGATTAAACTATTTTTCATGCTTCATTTTTTTGTTCTCCTCATTTGATTTTGTTCCCATTTTTTGTTTAATTTCTTTCTTTTTAAGGTTTCATTTATCCTATTTCAACTGAACAGAGAACCCAGAATGAATATGGATTTTCTTGTAAGTTTAATGTTTGGTTTTATGTTCCTGGATGCTAATTTGATGCTGTTCCTTGGGTTAGGCTTTACTGTTAGGCAAACTCAGTGTGACTAGGCAAAAAAAGGGACCTATTCAGCAGGGTGACATTCTGCTTGCTTGACAGCAGGCATGGTGCTTTGCAGCAGACACAGGATTATAAGGGCCTTTGTGCATAAGGGAAGTGGGAGAAGATGCTGCCTCAGAGACAAAAGCTGGAGAGAATGAGCCATCTTCTCATTAAAATTCCCTTAGCAACTGGACGGAGTGTGGTGGAAGGGTAACTTGTCTTTGAGCCGGAACTCAAGAGTTCTGCTTCCTGAACTGCTGGGTTAAAAATGGGATGTTTCAAGTTTGGTAAATTGAAGGTCTGGTAGCCTGGAGCTGTCAGAGATTGATCAGTCCCTTTCTGCATCTGCCAGCTCTCACCTCTGCAGCTGGAGGGCAGCTTGGCTTAAATGGCTAAAAGAGATAAAATAAAAGTGATTTCACATGTTTCAAACCAACAAAAATGGGGTACTAAAAGAGTCTGATTTGTTTTTGCACTTCCTTTTTTCATTAGGCCATTTCTAAAAATGGGATTCTTCACTGTATAGAAATACATCAATTTTTGAACACATACTCAGACCTTTTGGAAAAAAATGTCTGGTGGATAATGATGCTAGAGATTAGCTTGGAATTGGTGCTGAAGATAGGGTACAAGCAGCTAGTAAAAATATCATAGCCATTTCCTCACAAGACAGCTCTAATAAATTTTGGTTCCTTTTGGTAAATTACCACATTATTTCTTGTGCTTACTTCAGCTTTTATCTTAATATGTATGTGTTAATGCCACTGTGAGAATTCAGTGCTTGATTCTCTGCTTTACTAATTTACTAGCCTGTATTTTTGAAGGCAAATGGATGGAAGGGAGTAATGACAGGTTAGATTTAAAAAAAAAAACCAAAAACAAACCAACCAAAGATATGTCCTGATATTCCACAGAAAATTGAATTTTTAGGTTCTTTTAGTTCTTTTAGAGTAAAAATAAGACTTCTGAAGTTTTAAAAACCACATGACTTTGGTATCATATGAACTTCTAAATACTAATATTATGACATTATGTCACTAAGATGCAATCTAATTTCCTAGGGTGAATTTAGTTCATAAGACTATAACATGTTTTGCTTAGTAGTTCACAGCCTGAGTATTAGATAGATGAACAGGTGGATAGGTAAAGAGTTAGAACACAAGTTAGAGAGAAATCAAGGATTGTTTTCCATCAAAAGGGCATAGACCTGCTATATGGTGCTGGAAACGGATTTTAAATTAGCCTGTAAAAAAGGCAGTAAATATCTGCAGGAAACAAGAAAAATAAGAACATGTTTTCTTGAAAGTCCCTGTAAGGAGGACATTTCTTGAAGGTTCCTGGCCTCTCTCCCTGCAGCTGCTCCTGACTCAGATGATGTTGCTCTCTACGTGGGGATTGTCATCGCCGTGATCGTGTGCCTGGCCATTTCTGTGGTCGTGGCCCTGTTTGTGTACCGCAAGAACCACCGGGACTTTGAGTCGGATATCATTGACTCCTCGGCACTAAACGGGGGATTTCAGCCTGTCAACATCAAGGCTGCAAGGCAAGGTTAGTTGGCATTTCACTCCATTTTGACCAATCCAGGGAGATGCTATCAGGTTATGGTCTCTTGGGCTGCATGAATGGTATTGTTGGATCCCTGCTGACACTTGATAAAGAGGAGGAAGATCGTGTTCGTATGTTTCTGATTGTCTAATGCTCAAAACCCATGATGGCATTTGTCAACAGTGCTCAAGAGTAGAAGGCAGGTGAATTTAGCTTCTGAAGAGAGAGCATGAATGTGAGAGTGAAATTCAGATACTTTTGTGGAAGTACAGGTCCAGCTCAAGTTGAAATCAAAGGCAAAGCTCTGACAGAAACAATGGAGGCAGGATGCATCACAGGAGTGATACTACAGTAATTCTATCACATCTCCCTCCCCTTTATATCACTGATAGCTTTTCTTCCTATGCCCTGTCTCCACTGGTATAAACAGTACTGTGCATTTAATAGAAAATGTAGAAGTTGTGGTAGAACATAATTTAACAATGAATATTTTTATCAGTGGTGCATAACAGCTTGATTTTTTTTTCCTCACTTCATTGGCCAGGAAAAAACCTCTAAAGGTAGTGCTGCCTTTATCAAGACACTTATTTAGGCTGAAGAATTCCTCTTTTTTCTCCAATATCTACACCAAAAGAATATCTATACTGTAAAAGTTAAGATGACAAGAGAGTTGTTATGTGTAAGATTAGCAGAAGTGTTTTCTTTGCTGAAGAAACTTTGAAAGCAAATCTTAGAAAAATGTGATGCAGGTACTAACCCCTCACTGCAGAGAGTCATGGAATGATGACTTCATAGGCTTGTTGTCTTTTATTTCAGGAATGATGTCATTAGGCCAGTTAGAAAAATTGGGTAATGGTTGTCACATAGCATTTAGGGAGGGGTTTTTTAGTTAAAACTTGATCTACTGAGCGATGAAAACATCTTGCCCTGAAGCTAAGCATGTCATATTTGGAATCCGAGTGCAGCCTGGAAAAATACTCCCAGTGAAAACTCTTCAGAGCAGAAGCATGCTGTAATTTTGTACAGCAATCAGATTTCAAAGCAGCTGGGGCAATAGGAGCCCTGGGAGTTTGCTGGAGAATTCATGGAAGTGGAGATGAAGGTTCAGGGACTTTGTGTATCTGAATGTTTGGAATGAAAGATAAAATGCAAATGCAAATTTTTGCTCGGAATAAAGTCATCAGAATAGAAAAATAACATGGCTCTTCCTTCTCATCTCCACTGCAGACCTCCTGGCAGTGCCACCAGACCTCACTTCTGCTGCAGCCATGTACAGGGGTCCTGTGTACGCCTTGCATGATGTCTCTGATAAAATCCCAATGACCAACTCTCCAATCCTGGACCCACTCCCCAACTTGAAGATCAAGGTTTATAACACCTCCGGTGCAGTCACTCCCCAGGATGACCTATCTGACTTCTCCTCCAAGCTGTCCCCACAGATCACTCAGTCTCTGCTGGAGAATGAGACCATGAACATGAAGAACCAGAGCCTTGCTCGACAAACTGACCCTTCATGCACCGCCTTTGGTACCTTCAACTCCTTAGGAGGCCACCTAGTAATTCCCAACTCAGGTAAGTGCTAGACATGCTGGCCTGAAGGTGCAGTTGTTTTGTGGGATTAAATGGTGTTAGCTTGTCTATGTGGGGAAAGAAAGTCCATACGTGGGACTCTGCCTTTTCTTTGATCAAAACAAATAAATGGGGCTTCCCTCCCCGCTCAATTTGCATCTACAAAAGTACTTTGAATATTTTCTACCCAATCTTCTGGCCACCTTTTAAACACTACAGGCTTGAGGAAGACTTGGGCCCCTCAAAAGCACCAGTCTTAGGAGTAGCAGCTGAGGGAGCTGGGGTTGCGTAGCCTGAAAAAAAGGAGGCTGAGAGGGGACTTGATCCTGTAGTTGTTCTAGTATTTCCAGAGTCCCATATTGTTGTTATTAGATTTCTAAAGTCCATACCTCTTGCGTGCATTCTCATGGCTACAGATCTTCACAGACTCCTTCTTCTGCATGCTGTTTTCTCTCGGGTCAGGGCTCCTCCAAGGCTCTCCCTGACTGGCTATCCTGCCCCCTTTTATCCCGGTCATCTCCATTGGTTACAGCTGCAGCCCATTGAGAGCAACCGGGACCTCTGGGGCAAAGCCTCTATACACATATTCAAATACATATCCTCTACTATATTATCCCTTTCTACAACTGCCTGAAAGGAGGCTGCAATAAGGTGGGGATTGATCTCTTCTCCCAAGTAATGCATAGGAATGTGACCTAATGGTGAACACTGTGATGTGTTAATGATTGGATTCAATGATCTTAGAGGTCTCTTCCAACCTAAATGATTGTCTGATTCTAAACTGAATATTGCAGAGCTCTTAGCCACTTTCTGAGACATGCAAGATTTCAGAGCTCCCCTGTGTCAAGTGCAATTCAGCATCACCTTTTCCTTTCATGCAGTTCTAGAAAAGGGACTTCAATACAGTAAGCCTCTATTGTGTCACTGTACTAAAAGAGAACAAATTAATTTCAAAACAAATTGGTTGCTCCACTTTCAATTCATGGCAGTCTATGTGCAATTGAAGTAGGACAACAGAACACCATTTTTGGGAGGCTTTTTACCTGTATTTATTGTTGACTTGCTTTACAACTAGGAAAGAGAGGACTGAGCATTGAAGGGCTATTGATGTAATGCAACATGCTGCTCAGTCTTTCTCATACAGCACCAAGTCAGGTTTCCAGGTCCCTTCAGGCCACCCTGACAACAGCAGGCAATTTCAGAGCATCCAAGGAGCTCTTGGGCAGCCTTGGGAGAGCTCCAGTCTTTCAGACAGATTTTTTAGCAGGGCCATGCTGCTGCTGCTTTGTTCCTACATGAAGTGTTGATGTTCTTTCTAAGGAAGTTCAGCACCTAGATGTTCCCATGGGTTTAGCATGATACTGCAGAGCAGCATTAATATCTAAAGTGAGAATTAATCAAATACATAAAGCATTTGATTTGAGGAATGTGCAGGGTATACAGTGGTCAGGAACACACCTGCCCAGTTTCACTGGATTCAAGAGGGACTACAGTACATGTGAGACTGCAGCTCACAGCTTGGCCATTTTACAGCAAATGCCCTCACCAAGGAGATGGTACCTACCCTTGTCCCCTGTGTCTCTGCTGGATCATTTCTTTTTTGTTGATGTTATGGAGGAAACAAAATCCCTAGGTGGCCCAGGACCTGGGTGGTTTGGTTCCAGGATGCAGTCCCACACTGCCCATGAAGCAGCCAAAAGTGCTTGGACCCATAGCCCTGGTCTCTGAGCTCCTGACTAATGGGAGGCAAAAATATCTGTGAAATTCAAGTGAAAGCTGAACAACTTCAATAAATCTGGTGCTGACTGATGAGCAATGTTGAAAATTTGTGCAATACAATCTTGGATTTAATATTTTTCTAAGTAGCAGCTGAAGATAGATATTGATACTCACTTTTCATATGCCACAGTGGTGCACATTATCAGCAAAGTCCATTAGTCACTGTTAATTCACATATATTAATATCAATTTGTAAAGAAAAAACATTTGATGCTGAAATCCCTTCAAAATGATTAAAGTAATGATTCTGTAAAATAAAATAATCTGTCTGCTGCTACTTTGTATGCCTCTGTGCTGCTTCTAGATGTATGTCCTCCTGAAGATATGATCAGAGCCCTTCAGTTTCAGTACACCTGCCCTGTTACAGCTGCAAGCATGCACAGGTTAGGCTGTAACGGGCTGTAGAAGGCATCTGTGGAAAATGCTTCCCTAGCCACCCCTCTCCTCAAAGCTAAGTGTGAGACTGAGGTCCTGCACACCAACACACGGGAGGTGTCCAGTGCAACCGAACTGTGAATGCTAAAGAAAAGAGGCAGAGCCATGCAAGGTGTCTATAAAGTGTCTCTAGTGTAAACACATCTATGAAAATAGTCTTCCTCTAGGTTTGTTTTTAGCTATGTGGTAAGAACTGTATGCAAATCCTTGCCAGTGATTTCCAGCTAATCCTCATCTACAAAGAGAGCTGCTGAGATGTGTCCATAGAGTGAAATAGCCAGTTCATGGGCCGTGTTTGTTGTGTAGAGACAAGACATCTTTTAAATGGCAGTAATATAAGAACACTGTTTTTTAATCAAGTGTGAAGCAAATCATTAGTGAAAATGACACTGGGCATATTTGCCCATGGTTTTTTTCAAGGCTGCATATCCCAGTTTTGAGGCACTCTACAGGACTAGGCACTTCCAAAAAGCAAGAAGCCCAGTTTTGTCTCCCCAGCAGACTCAGTTCCTCCCTAGGAACTGAGTGCATTAAAAGACAGGATGCCAGACACAGAAGCCATCTTTCAGGAAACAACTAGTTCTTGTTGCTTCCTGGGACAGTGCTCCACTGCTTTTCTTTCCTGATCTTAATTAAGTAAGAATTGCCTAGGGAGAGATGTCCCATTACAGCTGTTGGAAATTTTAGTCAGAGTTGTTTGTTTTTCCATCATTTTACAAGGTAAGCAACAGTGTAACCATCTGTCTGCTCTTTAAATAAAACTAAAGGGAAGAAAATCCTCTCCATTCTGTTTTTCAGTGCAGAGGAAAAAGAACAGGTGTCTGGACACTGAAGACACCAGGGTTACAGTTAATGCTTTTTCTCATATTTTGCTGAGGTCATTTACACTCTGATGGTGAGGGTGGCTGAAAATCTGGCATTGCAGGCTTCATCTTCTGCCTCTCCTGTCACTCCTCTCCACAGACCCACTCACCTTTTTTTTCTCCATCTTATCTTTTTGGTCTCTTCTGTTCTGCAGGAGTAAGTTTGCTGATCCCAGCAGGAGCCGTTCCACAAGGGAGAGTCTATGAAATGTATCTGACAGTTCACAGGAAGGAGAACATGAGGTAAAAAATGCCTTTATTTCCTTGTGCATTAATAGAGTAACTGAAAACCTGTGGTAATAATACTTATGCAAAGCCTACTGCATTGAAACTATTTGCTGACTTGGAGGTAAACACAGGCAAAGCCAAGGATAAACTTTGCCACAAAACCAGCTCAGACATTTGCTTTCCTGATCCAGGTGTTGCAGTCCTCAGGCCAGGGGGATGCTGAATTGTAGAGGAGCAAGGAAAATATGCCAGCATGAGTTTGTGCAACAGAGAAGGTGTGAAATCACCTCTTGATAAAGACTTGTGCTCCAAAGGAGAAAGGAGCAGAGAGGAAAGGTGATAAATCAGCTCAGCGGAGGGACAGGTGCCTGAGCACCTGACGTGAAAAATATCCTCTCCTGTTAGAGTGAAGGTGAATTCTTATTTTATCCTTCATGGGCTTGGCTAGTCCATGCAGAGGATGGAGCCAAAGCTTTTTGTGTCCTCCACCTCCTTGCTGCTTAGCCCCAGACACCACGTGCCAAGGGCACCCAGAGTTCATGCCGGGATGACCACGATTGTCTCCTGTTACCTGAATGTGTGGCCAATTCATATTCTAGATCTTAATGTCTACTGGCATGTGATCTGGCAGCCTTGAAATTAAAAAAAATGTTTACAAAAAGGCCAAGGTACCATTTGGGGCCAGTCAGAAGACCCTCATGTAGAGAAAGGTGAGATCTTAGGCTGCAGAATGGACTCGTGCACAAAGGCAGAATGGCAAATGTGAAGCTGAGGCAGTCATTACACGGTACTTTGCCTCTTTCTCCTCCTCATAGCTGGATATGTTTTTTGGCTCAGCCTCTTAATAGCTTTTATTATGTGCTAAGCCACAGCTGTTTATACACTGTGTGATATTGAACACTATTCTTTAGCTTGGTAGTCTTTCACCCAAGCTAAAATAATCTGCTTAAAGAAAAATTAAGTAATCCTTCCACCCACCCTTTTGCATACATTATTCATCAGCCGCTCTTTGAAAATAGCTAATTGCAGCTACAGAAAAAATGTCTCTGTTCATAGCTAGTATTGATTATATTCCTATTACTTTTGGCTGTGAAAGAGGTTTACAAACAGTACTGAACAAAGACTCCTTCCTGAGGAAGGAAAAAAAATCAAATGGCATCCCCTGTTATTCAGCTTGCTTCTAAATCTCCCTTTCCAAAATACCTAATTCTTTAAAAAAATTATTTAATTCCTAGATGGTGCTGTATGTGCAATTATTTTCTTTCCAGTCAGTTATGGAGGGAATCCCTGTTACTTTATTCATGCAGCTGTGGACAACTAATGTCACATACTTGTCTAATTTATTTTCTTCCAAGGATCATAAAGCTCCCTCTGCATGCTTTGTGAAAGCTGTAACTCAGCAAGTCACACAGAGGATAGAAGGATAGGTTAACCTGTGTTGGGAACAGCATGGCTGGAGATGTGCTGCCTGCCAATCTGAGCAAGTATACCAAAGGACACCTGCAGAAGTAAACAGAATGGTGTGAATCCTCGTTTACAATGAAGATTTTAGAAGTGATTTCCTTCCCTGGGAGAGGAGAGCAGAGCAGTCTGCCTTGGGGCATCAGGGCTCATTTTATTGTGGTGGCAGTCACTTTCTGGGTGCACAGAGTCCAGCTGCTTATTTGATTTGTGGCAGTTTTTCAGAAAACACACCAGGCTCCTCATGCTCTTGGAAAGCAGCTTCTTCTGGGACATTTAAATGGAGCTCAGTGGCTTTTGTCTAGATCACTCAGAACTGAATATTCTGTCCCCTTTCCCCCGGTGCCAGGAGCAGAAGGGGGTGGGTGGCACCCAGCTGTAATGTTCTCCTGCTGCAGGACTGGTTACCCGGCACTTCACTTCAGTACCAGAGCTACAGCTTGGTCAAAGCTTCTTTTTCTGGCTGCATGGGCCACAGATGCTGCTTCATATAATTGGAGTCATATGGGTACCACAAGTTGCTGTGTAGCATAATTATTTTTTAAATCAGCTGCTGCACTCTTGCAGCACTCTAGCAGAGAGTGATAGTCCCCAGTAAGGATGAGCTGCAGACATTTGCTTTCATGGCCAGGCAGTAACTGCAGTGTGTTCAACAAACCCTGTGAGACCCTATATTTCTTTCCATGACCACTGTGCAAATGTGTATGGGTTGAAAAGTCCTGTTATGTGTTGATGTTGTTTGGAAGGGGACACACAGTAAATTATAAAATGCATGTTGTTATCAGAAATGAAGGCAGACCCTTGTCCTTGATATTACAACTAGCACTGAGGTGATAATGTGGTTTCCACAGTGCTACCCTAGCAGAACCAGACCAGCAACAGAGAGGGTCCCCACCCCAGCTCACATATCTCCAACAACTTAAGATCTAGCTCACACTTTGTTTGTAGAGCTGTGAAACTACATATGAATAGTCAGAAACAAAAAATATGTTATCTCACAGACACCTGCAAATTCCTGTGGGAACTCAGCACATCGCTCCCGATGTCCAGAGATGCCAGGAGAACCCTTGGGGGTCTCGGAAATCCTGGAATGTTGCCAAGAGTGCTTGGTGGCTTGATTTTGATCCATCCACAGAAGTGACAGCAGTTTGAGGACATGAGAATCACTTTAGAGTGAAGGGTGTAAAAGGGACACATTTAGAGAGTGAAATATAAACTTTAAGGTTTTTGGTACAGGGGGGTTATGGAGACAAGATGGAGGGATCAGGGCATGTCTCATCCTTCTTCTTTCTTCTTCTTGTCTTCCATCTCCTGTGGTGATGTTGGCACTTGGGGATTGGTTTATGGTGAAGGTGTACTTTCCAACATGGGTGAAAAGTATTGGAAAATAAAAGTAAATATCATGTACGTAGATTTTAGTATAAAAAGACATGACCGCCCCGTGGGTGGTCAGAGTGCTCTTGGCTGCCTTGCAGATCAGACCTCTGTTGGGCAGACAGAAAATTTTGTAGATAAGAAACAATAAACAATCTGAAGATTGAAAAGCCAAAGAGTCCAGACTCATCCTTTGAAACACGTGCCACCCAAGAACCACCCTACCCGTGTCCGGGCAGAGACAGACAGCCAAACCTGACAAATTCCCATTTTCTTTTCCTTCCTTTGATTTTATAAGTTGTTTCCCCAGTTAGTCTCTGAAAGCTGTAGTACAGAAATTTGAGAGACTTCACAATTCAGTAATATCACTCTTTGTGCTGCCTTGCAGATTGGTTAGCAGAGCTTTCTGAGACAGTCTGTTTACTCCATTTCATATCCATCAAAGCATGTGAGAGCAGGAAGGTCACCCTAAAGGCATTATCATTTGGCACTGAATTGGAGTTCTGATAGCTTGCAGTAAACACCATTGGAGGCATTTTTTTCCTCCAAGTGTATCAGCATACCCGTGGCGCAGTGGGTTTTCTCTTCTACTGGACTGATGCTCCAGAAGAGTGTTATCCCTGCTCCTGTTCCGCAAGCTCACCCTCATTTTTCTGTCATTTGGGGCAGGATGGATGGCAGGCAGATCCCAGGCTCTCATCCCTGGTTGATCTCATAAAAAGATCCACGGTCTTTATGAAGAAGCTACAGTGGGGAAAATTATATATGGGTGTATGTTTGCACACATATTTTTATGGGTGTATGTTTGCACACACATTTTTTCAGTTACACTTATATACATAACATATACATATATATGTATACATGTACTTGCATGTACACATGCAAGTACATATATATGTATATGTTATATATATACATATATATGTACATATATATGTATATACATACATATATACACATATATACATATATACATATATATACATATATACATATATATGTATATGTTAAGTACATACATATATATGTATATGTTATGTATATACATGTAACTGAAAAAATGACAACCCAATGAGAATATTTCACAGCTATCAGACAGGTTTCTGTCTTGAAGCTGTGTCTTTTTCAGTGGTGAGCAGATGCTCTCTCTCTCTTAGTTTGGGGAAATGTCACCAACTTTCAGATTTGCAAGGAGTCCCTTCTTCAGTAGTGGTTTCATCTGTAAAATCAGCACACTATATTGGCCAGTACCTGGCAAGAGCCTCTTCCCATGAGCATTTATGAGAGGCTTGGTTTTACAGATTAAGTGATTTATTTAATTAATCTGTAATTTAATCCTAAGGATTAAATAGCATAAGTATAAACCTCCAGCCTCCAGGATTTGCTTGACTGCCTCAGGTTAAAAAACAAATCTCGCTGTGAGCTAAATTAGCAGAGCTGTGTTTCCTTCAGAAACATCTGGCAGTGGTCAGTGCTAGATGGGGTCTGGGTCTTGATGGACCACTGGTTTTATCTTGTGTGGCAGTTCCTGTGTTCCTGTGTGAGCCCCTGCTGAGCTCGCACAGCTTTAGGTGGAGCTACTCTTGCATGCTCTAATCAGAGGCAGGAACTGCACAAAACAGCTACAGCTCTGTGAAGGACACTCCTGCCTAATCCATCACACAGGAGGTGTTCCAAATGAGAGTGGAGTTCACTGTGCCCACAAAATTTGACAACCCTGAAGAACAGAGGAAGCAACACTCTTAAAGGTCTTGATGGAAGACACATATAAATGTGAAAATTTCAAATTAGCTACCTTGAAAGAGAAAAGGGTCAGGTGAGCCTTGCCAGGATTTGTATCAATGGCTTCATAAAGTATGCACAGAGTTTAATATAAAGTCAAGCATCTGATCAATGATTGTGATCCAGTGAGTAATGTTGCTTTTTCACCAGTAAATCTTAAGCTTAGTGATGTGAAATAAAAGAAATTGAAGTCTTCCACATTTCATTTTTCCACCTTCCTTATCTCAGTTGCATAAACAAAATTACTTTGCATCTCCAGAAGACAATTTCTTGAAGTGTCAGTCACTATAATTGAAAAATTCAACATGAAAAAGACCAGAGCATGATAGACTGTCAGAAGAACCAGGGTCTGTCAAGAATATTAAGTTTGAAACTAAAGAAAGAACACATATTAA